TGCCAGGAAGCTTATAGCTAAATTTTTTTTTTTTCATTTCTGTAATTAAATCATCCCTGATACTTTGCTCTTTTCTTCTAAATGGTTTTGACCTGTTTAAAAAATATTCATACTTTTACTTGTCCTATTTCACATGTCCTATTGTAAACTGCTTTGAATTTTTTTTTATTTTTTTTTTATCAAGTGAGCAGGCTATAAACCACAAACGCAAAAAGTAATTGTAGATTGTGCCTTCGATTCAGTGAACCCATAGACCAGCTGGTGGTGTTGAGCATGTGGTGGGTATGGCTCGGGTGGATTGGAGGATGTGGATGAGAGGCATGCGCTTCTCACCACTACCCTGGTCCTGGGGTGGACAGTGGCAGGGATGGCGTCTTCTCCCTCCCTAGGACTCCTTGAAGTGCCAGATGGCCTCAGGTCATACTGAATTCTCTTCAGAGGGGTCCTATGCTGGGACTCACGTTATTTCCTAGCAACTAAGATACAGTGACTACCCTGAAATATGTCAAAATGGGAAGGGCAGGTCAGCCTTCCCACCGACCTTGTCTTGTGCATATAACACATCTCCATGACTGCTCTAAAACCACTTTCATGATTAAAAAGCACTTGAACATTTTTTCTGGGGGGGGGGGCGGGGGGAGTTGTATTTTGCTATGTTGGGGATTAGGGTGCCCCTTCCCTGGCTGTGTGTCCTGTGTGCTGTGCAGGAACTGGTGGAGGCTGGCCAGCCAGGGTGAGCATAGAGCAGCAGCAGGTGCCCACTGTGTGGCAGGGGTGGGAGGAGCCAGCTCCATCTTCAGTATGGACAGCAGGCAGGGTAAGGGAGGCCCTGCTGGCTCTCCCTCCTTTCTCAGTGGGGTGGAGAGAAGAGCCTTGGCCCCATTCTTTCTCCTTTATAACCCAGCAGCAGCCTTACTGGCTGCCACCACCATGGCTCAGTCTCACTGTGAAAGGGCAGGAAGGGGCCTTACCTGTCAACACTCACTTTGCCATGTGGGAGAAGCTGGGGTTTGTGGGCCCCAACTTAGCCAGCCTGGAAGCCTAGTAACCATGGGTCCCTAATTTCAAAATCAATGCCCGTTCCCTTTCCCCATGGCCACTTTCATGAAGGCGATGTAGGCGTCACGTGTGTAGCAAGACTCCATCATCCTGGGTCCCTCGGGTAGTGTTTGATTCCACCTGCAAACATAGGGAAATTCAACAAAAGTGGCTTTTCCTCTTTAGCCAACAAAGCCAGCATCACATTATCAAGGATAACAGGTCTGTTTTCTAAAAGTATGTCGGAGAACAGTGGGTTTCGGTGTCTAGCTCAAACAAATGGTAAAGCATTTATCTTGAATATGCTAAATGAATATTTATTTTTGTATCCATTTAAAATGTATATTGATCTTTTTTGTTCTTTATTTTAATAAAGTGCTTTTTAAAAAGCTGATTCGTGCTTTGTATTTTGTTAAAGTCACTGTAAAATATTTCATCATTTTTACCTGATTCTGGGTCCTTTAAGGGGGAATTGAAACACAGTGCCACGCTGGGAGGATTCAAGGATTTTTTTGCTTGTTTTTCTCTCATCCCCAAAACAACAGCAAAAAGGTATAGAGTCTTGCAGGTCAGAGAATTTTCTGGATGCAGAAAATGCAGGGCATGCTAGGTTGTTTTTTTGAGGTCCGGGGGCCTGTTTGGGTTTGTGTGAGCTGATGGAGGAAAGTGCAGAGGGTGTGAAGGGAGGAGGAGGTTGGTGGGGACAGGACAGTCTTGGAAGGTGCTGGGCCCCAAGCTGGGTTGGCCACACATGATGGGGATGTGCATCCTTCCATTCACACACATACTCAACTGTGCTGGGTTCTTAGGGGATACAGCAGGGACAGGAGGGGCCTAGTTTGGTCATCATGGAGGTTGCTTCATGAGAGGTACCTGTTGAACAACCAAGGACAGATCAGTCTGCTTCAGGAGGGTCCAGACCCCAGCCAACCCAGGGGGCATGGTGTTCCCAAGTGTTCCCCACCATGCTCCATTGACAGGTGACTGGCTTCCTCAGACAAGCCCCATAAGCCTGGAATGGGTCTCATCCTCGGCACAGAGATGAAGGAATGAAGGCAGGGCCCACTGGGGGGTAGACTGGCCATTCGTGTCCTGGGACAGCTTGGGGTGAGAGGCTATCTGATGAGGCCTGGCTGCGAGGCTTGAGGTTGCGGGGCCCAATGACCCCCGGCGGGGTGGCTGCTGGCCAATCATTGGCTCTCTTAGAAATCTCACTGAGTCACCCTAATTCCCCCATGTTGCAACCAGAACTTTGTTTATCAGGAAACCATTTTCTGCTTGTGGATTCAGGGTCAAATGTGGAAACTGGACAGAGTCTGCTTCTTGCCAGAGTTCAGCACGCCTCTGCAGACCGTGGTGGACAGACCCTTCTCACTCAGCTTCCTGTAGGGCCAAAGGAGGCTGGGGTGCTTTCATCTGCCGAGGAGGAGGTTCAGGGACCCAATACTTCGGGAATGGCCAGGAGTTCTGAAAATGCCCCAAGGTCCTAGAGGTGACCTGACTTTTGAAATGTAGGACCTCCTCTGGACGAGAAGCTTCTGCAAACCAAGGGCAGCCCGTGGGACTGGGCTCATGAGACACTGGGTCGAATAAGCAGCCTTCCCTCTTCATATTCTAGAAACATTTATGCAAATCAAGACTTTTTTTTTTTCTTCTATGAAGATAATTCAACTATCACTTTCTGAGTGATCACCCCTTGGTGCACTAACTTCTGTAAAATCCATTAGGGATGGAAAATTTTGGTTTTCCTTTGTCATGTCCAGATGGGTTAAGATGGTGCCCCTGCTCTGGGATCAGCATCCACAGGATCTGCAAGGCCTGGGGTCCTAGGAGAGGCCTTGTGCTCCTGGACTGGCGACTCTCCATGAAGAGGCCACCGTGGGAAGCAGGAAGAAGGTATTTGTGTGAGTGATTCAGACTCTCCACACGAGAAAGTGTTGCAACCCGACTACTCAGAAATATTTAGAAATTCTTTCTAAAAAATGATCTATAGCAAATGACTGTAATTTTAGCAGCTCAATTGGCCGAGGGAGGAGGGGTGGCTTCTCAGTGGAAAGTGTGGCTGTTTTTACTAAAAGTAGGGGAAGCAGTAAATGTCTTGACCTGCTCAGAATCTCAATCTTCCTCTTGGGCATGTGCACGACATGTTGCACATTCAAGTTCTCTCTCGTGCTAAGAAACCCATTGGATCCAGCATTTTCTGAACGTCCCTGATCTGATGTGCAAGTTGTCTTTGGAAGGGGTGCCTCATCCAGCTTGATATAATTCAGGCCTCAAGAGGAAAATGCGTGCATTTCTGTTTTGGTTGGGCCGCCTTGTCATCTGGACCGAGTCTTCCAGGGATGGGAGCAGCTACCCCTCTAACTACCCTCGAACTTATATTTTGTCTTGCTCATGGATGTCACGGGTCAGAATTTAGACAGGACACAGCAGTGTTGGCTTTTCCCCTGTTGTATGAAGTCTGGGGGTTCAACTGGGAACGCTCACACAGTGGAGGATGACTTCAGTGCCCTGGGGGGTGGAATCATCCGGAGACCTTTTCATCCACACGTCCAGGGCCTGGGCCGGGAGCGCTGGGAGGCAGGGGACAGCTGGGGCCACTCTTGGCCTCTTCGTATAGCTGGGCCTTCCTCACAACACGGCGGCCCCAGGGCAGTCCAGGGCAGGCGGCTGTTGGTTAACTGGCCTCAATGCATGCTGCATCAGTCAAAGCAGTTATAGGCCACCCAGACCAAGGATCGTGGGCAGGGTCCCCACCCCTCCATGACAGGAGTGTCAAGGAGCTGGCAGCCATGTTTGAAAACCACTGGGTGGGGATGAAACATCTTCTACTTTGCCAGGCATCCCGTCTACCCTCGTGGAAACATAGCCTCTGCCCCCCGGCCTGAAAGCCCAGCTCCTTTCTGCCCTGGTCATCTGAGGCCCAGACAGGTCAACCTTTCCCTCAATCCACCGCGGGAGCCCAGTCATGGACACTCACCTTCTTCAGAACATAGGCCTTCCCTTGGGAATACCAATCACTGGATCAGGGTGAGAGCATGAGGTGTTACTGTGTGAAAAAGACCCTGTCCCCACCCTAAGTGAGGGTGCAGCAACCAAGGAACTTCTTGGGGGTGGCGAGGGCCTCGTGTGGGTTTCCCTGGTCCCTCCCATCCTTCTGCTCCTCACCTCTTGGGGGGAGGCAGGGCCGCCTTCTTTGCTGTCATCCCCAACACTAGGGCTCTGCCAAAATGTGTCTGCGAGAGCATGAGATATAAGGAAAGTCATGCCATGGGTTCTGGCTCCTGTGGTGGCCAGGAAGGTTTATGGAGCTTCCAGCTCCGCCACCCATAGCTGAGTGAGTGAGGGCAGGTGAAGAAGATCCGCCACCCCATGCCTCAGTTTTCCCATTCGTAGGCTGCCTGTGAGGGTGGAGTGAGTGCACCAAAGCAGCTTACAGTGGTGCTGGTCAAATGGCCAGCAGTTCTTTGGCGTAGATGCCATTCCTGAGCAGCTGTGTGGGATCCTGTGTTGGAGGCCCCTGGAAGCAGAGCAGAAACAAGGATGGAGGGTGAGGAGGGTGCATGCAGGGTTGTGTCAGGAGGAGCTGGTAGGGGAGAGGAGAAGCCTGGGGAGGTGACGCTCCTGCCGGCCTGGGAATGGCCAGGCTCACGGGTCCTGCAGTGCTAGCCCCAGGGAGCCAGACCCCTGTCCACCCCCTTCCACCAGGGGTTGGGTGAGGCTGCTCCCAGAGCCGTTAGTGACTTGGTTTCCACCTGCTTGAATGCGGGAGAAGGTGGCTCTGGTGGCCACAGAAGCCTCAGCCCCCCTGCAGGGGCCGGCAGCCGGGGTTGGCAGTCTAACTGGAGCAGGAAGGGTCAGGGGACCTGCTGGGACACTGGCTGCTCCATGAAGTGTTGTCACCCTCTCGTAGAGGGACAACGTGCCAGACAGCCCAGGGTTCAGCTTCCAGCTCAGGGCTCTTCAGTTGTGGGTCCTAGAGAAAATCATTCAAACTCTCTGTTCCTCAGTCACCTCATCTGTAAGACTGTGGGGATAAAGGGCTTACATCAGTACCCGGCCACTGTAAGTGCTAAAAAACCAGTATATTTATATTTAATTTATCATTTATGTAATTAATTTACTTTTTCTTAAATTTCAATAAGTTTAAAAATTAATAATTTTTAATTTAACTGTTTCTTAAATTTTGATAAGACTTTTAATAGGTCTAAGAAATAATCTTGTTTATATTAACTATAACTATATGCAATTATTTGCTAATTATTAAACAGTAATATGATAAATTGTTTATGTACTTGCCTATTCTAGAATTCTTTGATTATCTCTCATTAGATTTAATTTTATAAATATAGGAATTATTCAATGATTATATAATGACTAAAACTATGTGGAAATTGTATAACTAAGGAAATAATGAAACCGCAATGGTTGATCATCATGTAACTTCTTATTCTTTGTCTGCTCTGGAGCAAAGGTGAGGACCAGCTTCCACCAGGCCTGGCGGGCAGAGGTGCACGGTTGGTGCTTCTGAGTGAGGGGCCCACGTGTGAGTGCTCTGGCAGTGGAAACAGGTGGCACCGGACGTGGCCCCGGAAGGGCTCAGGGAGACGGGTCTTCCAAGCTGCCTCGCACATCACAGGTGCTCAAAACACATTCACTCCCTTCCCATCACCTCCTTCCTGCACAAAATGGAAAAGGAGAGCACTCCCAGAGGTTCCTGCGGGGTTAGACGAGTGCAGCAGGAATGATGGGGAATGATGGGGCGTTTCCAGACCTCTCCCTCCTGCAGGTCTTCCGGGGAGAGGGCTCTACTGGAAGCTCAGCTCTGCCTCTCCCCCCTTCCCAGACGGGTTGCTTCTGGCTGGAGTGGGACTGAGCTGATGTGCAGGGAGAGAGCGAGGGGACCAGGAACGGCCAGCCAGCGCCACACCCGAGCGGGGAGTCTTAGGTTGCGTGTGGAGGGCACAGAGGAGATGGGAAGACTTTTCACGACTGCTGGGATGGGTGAGCTGTGTGAGTCGACTTCGGGGATCTCATCAGTGAAAACAGGGCATCTGAGCTAACCTGGGACTGCTCATGGTTGTGGAGCTAGGCTTCCTCGGGAGGGACATTTCTGAGACAGCCCCCGGGTCCTGGCTTTGCTCCCACAGGCATCAACCGCCTCTCCGTGGAGGGCATGCTCTTCTCCTCCTTTTTCCAAATTGTAAGGACCCGAGGGAGCAGGAAAGAACAAAGGCTCTGGAACATAAGCGTCTCAGAGAAGCACGAGAGGAAGGGACTCTGCTATTCTCGTGGAGAGCTTCTGGGGGTAGAAATCACGGTGCGCTGGACAGCCCCAGATGTCACCCTCTGTTCATCATTTCCCTTCCTGTAGCACCTGCAGGAGCCTTCCTCCTGACCTCCTCCCTTGCTCCACGGTCCAAAACAAGCATTGAGCAATCCGGGCCAGTTAGAAATCCCGAGCCCAGAAATAAAATGACTGTTGCTTTGGTGCACTTGCACGTTTGCTCGGGGTCCTGACAGGGGCAGAGGCAATGCTTGCAGGAAGCAGATGGCCTGGTCTACTGTACATTTCGGAATATTTCAACTGCAAGGCTGGCCGGGCTGTTGCATCACTGGGTCAGACAGGGCCACGGGACGGAGGCCAGGGGACTGGGGACCGGGCGACAGGCCAGGTGGGGAGCAGAGGGCTAAGTCTGGAGAGGGGAAGTGAGGGGAACAAAGGTGGGGAAAGCAGCATGCGGTTCTCAGCCAGGTGCAGCCGCAAAGGGCAGATACATGGGCTGAGGGTTCGAATCCTGCCTGGGTTGTTGATTAGCTGCGAGACACCGTGGAAATGACTCTCCCTCCTCAAATTTCAGTATCCTGGGCTCTAAATGATGCGTCACTCCTACTTCACATGGCTGCTGTGAGGGTAGCTGCCCTGCCCTCAGGGGTTGATGTGAGGTTGGCACGAGGTCATCCATACACAGTGCTTAGGCCTGGCCTGGTGCCCGATGTGGAGCACTGGGGCCAGCCTCTCCCCGTGGGCAGGTGGTGTGGGCAGCAACTTGCCAGACTGCTCAGTGGGTGTGGAATTGGACACAGGGAGCTAAGAGATTCCCAAGAGGGCCTCTCCCCCCAGTGTCGAGTTGATGCTGACCGCCCGGAGTGCTAGCAGGCTCCCCCACCCTCTGGCTTCCAGCCTCGTCAGCCAGAAGTAGCCCAGCAGGTCAGAGGGTGGGAGGAGAGAGGCCGGCCTTCTCCCTGCAGTTCCCGGAGTTAGCCGTGCTGCTCCCAAGGCAGCGGTCTGCACATGACTGTCCTTGGGCCCCAGGAACCGTTCCCTCTTCTTGTCCCTTTGGGTGCCACCACCTTGGGTGGTGACAGCTCTGCTCCTGCCAGTCCTGGCTTCTGCACACTCTCTTCTGGTTCTCTTCCACCAGGTCTCAGTGCGTCCGGCAAACCTGGCCCACCGCCTGTTGTCGAGCTTAACTGAAACCTGGCTACGCTCACTTGTTTGCATGTTCCCATGCCTGCTGTGGTGCTAATGACGGAGACTGCTCGGCCCCCAGAGCTGAATATGCTTCCCGCCTGATCCTTGATCTCAGCTTTTTGGAGCCGTGTGCCATGCTCTGCCTCAGACCCGCCCACACTGGAGATACTGAGCTGCTGCAAATCTCCCCCGGGGCCCTCGCTGGTGTGGGTTGATCACTGGCATCTTCTTCAGGCAGAGGAGTCCTCTTTCCTGAGTTTCCATGTGTCGATGACACTCATCTCTTCTCCAAATCCATCCACGCACTGGCAGCAGGGAGCAGGACAGGGGACGCAGCCAGGCCCCTGATACTACCCCTCTAAGTGTGAGCCAAGACAGTTGCTGGCACACCTCGGGGCCACTTCTTCCTCCCAGGGCTGTAGGAGTTGGGGTTTGAGAAGCATCCATATTTCTTTGCATTAGTGGCCTTATTCTCATCACTTGTCAGGGGCTTGCCCCTGGGGACACGCAGATATTTTTGGTTGTCATGACTAGAGAGGTGGGGGCTGCTGGCATCTGGTGGGTAGATGCCACTCACACCCTCCAGTGGATAGGACACCCTCCCCACTGACCCAACTAGAGTTATCCATCCCCAGATGTCAGCGGGGCTAGGGTGAAGCCCCATGGGAGATGCTCATCTTCACGAGGGAGGGACAGGGTCTGCTTTGCTCTGCACTGAATCCCTCACACATGGCACCAGCTCAAAGAACAGTTCCTGATGCATGAGTGTGTGCTTGCTTCTGGGCAGGCCCCGGGCTCAGGCAGTGTGTGACCCATGTGCCAGCAGGGGACACAGGCCAGGGGGGCTCCCAGGACTGAGAAGGGGCATGCAGTGGCGGGGCAGGGGCAGAGCCTTGATGGACAGGGAGGACTGGGGGGCCAGTGGGGAGGCAGCTCAGGCTGGGCCTGGGCTTGCCATAGGTGGCAGGCAGGGGCCCCTCCAGAGGTCTGGGGAAGCAAAGCAGGGCCCATGTGCATAAGGAAAACGATTGCAACAACTATCTGGCCCAGCGAAAGCTGCAGGACTTCCAGCCAAGACACATTTTACTCAAGAAGAGCCTGTTTTTCGGAAGTTTTGGGGAAGGTGCAGGACACAGGTCGTTCTGAAACTCAAGGTAATTCCCTAAAGTGTGCCTTTCATTTCCTGAGAGTGAAGAATGCTGGCTGGGATCACTTCCCTCCGTCTCAGGCCTGCCGACCTATCAGCACCAAAGGTTGGTCCCAGCCCCCTCCACCAGGCTCGCAGCAGTGTGACTCAGTTTCCTCCCTTGGCAGGTGGGTGGGAAGCCACAGAGAGGATGCTTAGGGTGGGGACCCTCCTGGCTCCTGACCCTGCCTGCACCCCACGGACACCTAAGGGGATGATGTCAGCTGGAGGCCCAACACTACCCGCACCCCTCGGTAACCACTCCCCTGCTTTCATCTGTACGTTTACCAGCACTCAGCCCCTGAACACACGCCTGGCAAGGGGTGTCACACACTAGAGTTACACGCTAAGTCTCCCTCTGTGTCCAACTTCAGTCACTCACCATTACTGGAGAGCCGGCCCCACTGATGTGCTATCCTCGGTCACTCATTCACTTCCAAGGCCGGGGCGCCTCCCGTGCGGTGACCCCATCACGACTGATACCTCCTTCCACAGCTGGGCACTCGGTCTGGTTCCAGGTTTGGCTGTCACCGATGGCACCGCGTACACGTCCTGGTACATGTGCACACACACGTCAGAATTCGGATTTCTTAGTTACCTGTGTGCACGTGTTCGGCTTGGCCACACTGTCACACAGTCTCCCACATTCCTGCTGGAGTGTGTGCTCCTGTCCTTGCCAGCATCACCGGGTGGGCTCTGTACCCACGCTCAGGACCACATGGGACCTGGCCAAGGGCAGGAGGGCTTTGCCCTGGGAGCAGCTGAACATAGAGGGTCAGGACAGCAAGGGCGCCTCGTGAGAGGGGGGCGGGAGGCAGTAGGACCGCATGGTGGCAGGTGTGACCTTTCCTGCCTGGACCCTGTCCTCATTCAAAGGCTCCAACAGCAGCTCCAGGAGCTCCGTTGCCACCTGGGCTGCTCTGGTCCTCGTCCTGCCCGGCAGTCGTGAACGTGGCTGCCCCGGCGGGTCTGCAGGCATTTGTGTGGACGTTGGTTGTCAGGTCCTATGGATGGATCCCTGGAAGCACCACTACGGATCGCAGGTTAAGTCAATGTGTAGCTTTGTGACAAAAAGGCCCAACTGTCTTCCAAAGTGGCCGAGCCATTCTGTATCCCCCACCAGCAACGAGTGAGAGTCGTGGGCTGAGGAGCTTGACAGGCAAGTCTTGGGTTCATCCACACTCACGGAGCTGAGTGTGGTTTAGGCCACCTCAGACACCAGGGCGGCATTCCATCCAGGCGGCCACGGCCTTGGGCTCGGGCAGGACGCGGGTCAGGGACCCAGCTCTGCCATTCCCTCCTGTATGACCGTGGACAGGCCAGTCGGCACTCCCAAGCCCCACTTAGCCCTCCGTGGACAGGATGGGGACGGGCCTCACATGCATGGGAGTGGGCAGGCCGCACAGGACAGCACGGTCGTGGGGAAGGCGGGCCGCCCTGAACATCAGCCAGCACCGCGGCAGATAGGGAGCTTGGGAGAGGCCTCACTCCCTTGCCCAGAATCTTAAGAAACTTCCAGAGGGGAGGACCTTGAGGTGGACAGGGTGATACCCCCACGATGTCCAGAGGGTAGTTCTCAGGACAAACTTGGGCGGGAGCTCCCTTCACGGTGGAAGGTGCTCTACAGGTGGGGAGGTGGCCTTGGATGGTCTGGGGGGGGCGGTGTCCCTGTGGGGTTCTCCTATTGGGTGGGGAGAGACTGGATGGTGTCCCTCTGCTGGCTTCAGAGATGCAGAGGGGCCGTGGGCTGAGGAGGACGGTGGGCTCTGGAAGCTGGATGAGGGGAGGAAACATTATCCCTGGAGCATCAGAAGGAACCAGTCCTGCTAACACCTTGACTTGAGCCCCCGAGAGACCATGTTGGACTTCTGACCCCTGGAATCTACATTTGTGGTCAGAGACTCTAAGAGAAGGGATGTGGGGTCTGTTACAGCAGCTGGAGGGGACGCACTACTGCAGGAGCAGACAGGAGACCCAGGCCCAGCGTGGCCTCGTGACCCAGGGTCCAGAGCAGGGCCGTGCTGCTCCCGGTGCCCTTTGTCTTCTCTTCTGTCCTTTCCCGTGAGCCCAGGGCCCTGATGGTGTCACACAGGAGCCGGGTGCCCGAGCGCTTTGGGAACTCGGGGTGAAAACCCCAAGGTTGAAAATAGCTCCATACCCCCCTGTGTGGTTAAATTTCTGCTTCTCGGGCTGCTGTGAGGGCGACAGCTCACAAAGCCACTTCCTCCTGACTCGTTGCTGCCAGCCCATCCTCACGGGCATTCCCTCTCTGCCATGCCCTCTGCATCAAGTCCTGTGGGGCCAGCGCTCGGCCGGCCCGGGGGTGCGGGGTCGGGGGTGGGGGTACACAGCCTCCACACGTTCCCCACCGGCTGCCACTGCCGCTTCTGTTGTGTGTGACTGTTACGGCCTTCCTCGTTCTGAGGCTGAAGTCGGTCCTTCCTTTCTCTGGTGTGAAATGCAACCACGATGTAGTCACAGCAGAGACCATATTTCCACCCGAAACCATGGGGCGCTCATGCCGTTCTCAAGATGCCTTCCTGAGCTTCCTCTGGGTTTTCAGGCTTGACTGAAAGGAAATCTGTAGTTGGAAAGTCTGAACAACCTAGCAGGCACATCGTGTGGCTTGTGTGGGAGGGAAGGGATGATTTTCTAAATGAGGCTTACAACTTGTTTCATCTCAGTTGGGAATGTTTCGAACATGCCACCGAAGTTTGAAAAACCCCACGTGTTTGGTGTGGAGACACGACCTGACCTCTGCCAGCCGGGTGCTCGGCTTCCTCCCCAGCACTTCATAGGCACTCCAGGACCATCGGATGCAGGAACCACCACAGGAATGAGTGGATCTGCAAATTCAGAAGCAACCAGAATGTTCTGGAACTTACCCTCATGCTGGCCTCTGACGTGGACCCTGTGTTCTCTCTGAACCGTTCATCAGATGAGGGTCTTCTCATGGCTGGAACATCTGCAGAATGAGGACCGAGATGCGTGTCCCTGGGCCCGAGGGCCAGACCCGAGAGAGCTTCTGCGAGTCTGGAGGAAACATCTAGATCTCGGCTCACGGACTGTGCTGATGACGGCGAAGTCTCCATGGCCAATGTGGTACATTAAGGCAGTGACTGCGTGTCCTGTGGGCGAGAGGAAGGGGACTCACATTTGCCGAGGACCAGTCTTCCCCTCCATGCCTCCCAGGCATCGTAGCCAATATTATTTCCATTGCTGAGATGGAAAAAACCAAGACTCAGTGATGTAAGCACATCACCCAAGTCTTAGGGACGGAGCAGACTTTGCCTGGAAGTTGGTCAGTGACAGGGACAGAGCTGTTTGGCAGTGGACATGTCTCACCATCTCTGCCTTGCTCACAGAGCCCTGATTCTGTTCAGGCATCTACTCCTCCCCAGCATGATTCAGGGCGAGGATCCCCCTTCCCAACCCGGCCGTAATTCCTGACCCCTCCTACGACAGTGACAGTCACCCCCTGCCCCCGACAGTAACAGGCTCAGGAAGGGGCACGTGATGACACCCACACTGGGAAGACAAGATGTGCTGGGGGCTTCTGGGAAAGCCTCCCCACTCCTTCCTCGGCTTGAGGCTGGGGCCAGGGAGGTGATGCCCACTTGCCGCCAGCCTGTGCAGGGGAGTGCCAGCCTGGGCTGTCAGCTCCGGGATTCCTCTTTTCTAGGGAAGACACCCCCTTGACTCCACAGTTTGCTTCTTGCTGTCCCCGAGGCACATACCTGGTCCCCTTTGCGCTCTCCTCCCCACATCAGCCAGAGAAGCACCCAGACTCTGCAACCTCGTGTCCCCAGCCCAGCCCTCCCACTTACAGAGTCGCCCTGCTCCCGGTGTGGCCGGGGATGAGTGGAGTGCCATGTGCAAAGGCGGGCGCCGACGGTCTGTCACCATAAGGAGCATCACTCCGCCTTCCCGTGATGCCACCTCTGCCGCTCCTGAGGCACGGGCACCCCTTCCCTAGCTTCTCTCATTCTTCCTTGACAGGTCTTCGCACACGGATGAATTAGTCATGATGCCACGCCTTTCCAAGAGAGGGTGGCCCAGCCGGTGGGCCCGACAGACATGGCCCCGAGCTTGTGGAGGCCAGGGCCCCGTGCTGTGTCTTCGTGGGAGGCACGGTGCAGCCCTTGCTCACAGGCATCAGGCCCAAGTGTGAACTGTGAACAGCAGGCACCTCTGTGCTCCAGTTAAGCCAGAAAGGAGCTTGTTGACCAGATGCCAGGTGGATGGACGAAGGGGGCCAGAGGCCTACCACACCAGACAAGGCAAAAGTCCAGCAAGTCCCAAGGAACGTGCCTTCTTTCATTCCCTCACCTGTCCTGTGGCTGATTCCGCTGCGTTCCACTGTGCAACACTCAGTGTTTTCTCTTGCAGATATTTGGTTCATTATTTAGCAATCCCACAGATGCGTGCCACCACCCATGCACCATGCCTGGGTCTATACCCGTGAGTCCATCAGGCTCCTGTCCCGTGCACGACAGTTCGCCTCTCGGGAGCATTTCCCATGTCCCCTCTCCTGGCTGCACCATTATCACAGTCATTCCTCTTTTACTGATGGGGAAACCGAGGCATGGCCAGCTCGAGGTCACATGGCTTGCTTATCAATGGCACAGCTGTCAGAACTCAGGGGT